CGACTGTAGGAATCACTCGGCGCCTAGCTGCCACGCCAACAGGAGTGCTGGGATACTGCCAGGTTGCCCAAGCTTAGACAGCAGCCGTCGAGATGCTGAAGTTGGGTTCGAACAACGGGTCTTCCGGTTCGGAATCTGATGCGTTAATGACAGCAATTTCAAGCCCGGGAAATTTGACAGTAAGCAGTGAGTAGGACGGCGCACACAAATCCATCTCTCGCCAAACAGCAAAGAGCCTAAGGAAAGACCGGGAGGTCTGGTGGACATCGAAAGCCCACAATATGGAGAAGCCTTTTGCCACTGGAAATGGAATGCTCCATATCAACTGATACGATCAACTGGCCATAAAAAACAACGGTCAATGAAATGGTAAGTGAGAAAGGCAGCTACTCAATTCACTCGCAGTACAATCGAGTGGAAAGAAGGCCACCTGGCAACACAGCCACTGAAGATAGCGCATACAAGCGAATGGAATGTAAACCATAGTCGCCCGTTGGAAGAAGAAATAAGGCACGAAATATCCGTACTGAAGCGTGAGGAGGCACCAGGGCCGAACGGTCTGCATCCAGCTGTTTCAAAACGTGGAGAAAACCTAGTGATCGACCTAACAAAGCTGACTGACGCGATGTGGAGTAAATAGGAAGTGCCTGCAGAATAAGGCATGTCGATAGTCATTCCAATCTTCAAAAGGGTTACGCGAGGGTTACGCGAACACTGTGTGAAAACCACCGTGGCATCCGTTTTGTAGCTGCGACATCGAAGGTACTCTCTGGTCTTATCCTTCGAAGGTTTACTGAACACAGGGAAAGGCGGATCCGTGAAGATCAAGCTGGATTTTACCGTAAAAGACCATATTTTCACCCTCCGACAGATTCTGGAACAGCGACAATGTTTCCAACACCCAACAGTGGTTATCTTCCTGGACTTGAAAACTACCTTTGACTCAGTAGACTGTCAAGCATAAATTAATTACTGACCCTCCTTAAGGCGCTGAACGCTAGCTCCGACGGCTCCCGGCTGAGTTCACCACATTAAGTGATGTCAAACAAGACTGTCCTATTTCCTCTTCGACTTTGCTACTAATACGATCATCTGAGACTCACAATTAACCTCTGTATGTAGGGTCAAAATACTCCCGGGTGTTTGCTCACAAAGAGAGCTGCAAGCCAGTGTGGGCTCGAAACCCAATCTCCTGCTTGCAAGTGAGTCAACTGATGTAGTAGACAACTTCGTCCGCCTCGGCAGCTGTATAGTATATAAGGCCTCGCCAAGGATGAAATTTTCATCCGAATTGGGAAGCCCAGAGCAGACTTCTTGAACCCGCATCACCTCCGAAGCTGGCGTGACATCACCTCATCCGCCAAGGTTCGAGTTTGTAATGCCCTGGTGCGCTTCATACTACTAAACAGGTTAGAAACCTGGCCGCTGCACGCTGTGGACATCAAAAGACAATGTTTGGCAATGGATATCTTCGGACCATTGACCGAGTCTCGTAAGAACACCGGATTACTAATGCAGAAGTATGTCGAATGGCTTGCGGAAGAAATAACTTGCCCAAGAAAAATGAATTGATCACGTGCTCCGTTTGCCAGTCGAAGGGCTCTTTTCATACAACCACGTAAAGCGTGGAGCGAGTCATTAAAGGTCAAACAATCATTTAACAGTGAATTATGGAAGCTATAACCAGCAAATTCAGTTGCGCTGGTTATTGTGACCGCTCTGGGTGTGGACCCAGAGACAAAACACATCAGGGGTTGGAGACATGGAAAAACATGGTGCAGTCGCGCCGTCAACGGCACTCATGCATCCAGGTTATTGTCTTAAACACATAGGTCCCTTCTTCCAGATCTCCCCGGTTTGAAGCCCACTGACAATCCTATATATACGCATCAATTATATCAGCTACCGTCTGCAATGCGCAGCTACCTGCAGGATCTCCTCAAATCACCGATGAACGAAACTGCGGCAACTGTACCACAAGTAGGTATTCCTCGCAGTTAATGAGTATGATAACAATAATGATGATAGTTCAGTGTTACTGATCTAAGTTAAGTGCTGCAGACGAAATATTTCCGCTCCTTCGTTGCAACCACCTGGTGGTTGCATGCATGGGTGACCAAGTTAACTTCCATCTCAGACAGGCCTTGGTTGACGAATTCGCCATTAACGTTGCTTAGGTCAGCTTGATGGACAAAGTTCTGTTCGTTACACTCAATTGTGTACCGTGATTGAAAGTAAGCTATCTGTAAGGCGGATTTCCATAAGGATCACGACTTACCGCTTGCAGTCAGTTGCTGCTACGGCCGAGAAGAATATCCCACGCGCGATTGGCCAAGAATTTCGGGACGCCCGCTGGTCAAGATCCTATTGGTCGGAAGTCTTGACCCAAAGTCAATCATGACTCAGTATTGGCCGAATGCCGGTTGACAATGCCGCATCCAGAAGGCGTCAGAACTTCCAGAAAATTGTTGCCGCATACGCTATGTATATGATGCACTGTACAATTGTTCCTGACTTTTGGGCGTTGATATACCTTATGCAACTTTAGTGGCTGTTTCGACATGAACGCTAGTTTAGGAGCCTCAGGCCAAGAACTAAGATGAAAGAGATGCCGTTTCTATGCGATCGAAAATACTTGGCTAACTGTTCTTCCCGAGACACCTTTTGCCAACCCATTTTCTAACGACGGCACGCGGTAGTATTTAAGGGAGGAAATTCAGAAGTAGCTCGGAAACGGCATAAAGTTGTGCTGACACTTGGATAGGCCGTTCGATGGTACCAGACTTGAGGCAACTTATGCTAACTCTGATGTCATGTCACTGATTCAGACGCCTACAATGGGAAACGTGGCCGAATTGTTCACGCTGGACCTGCATTCTTCGGACCGAGGCTCTTCGTCCTTAAACCAACGAACCGCACGTTGTATTTTTTGTAAATGTTTGTGTAATGATTTTTCATCCTCCCTCAGGGCTATCCCTTCTCCGGAAGGGGGACATTGGATCAACCTGGTTACCGGTCCTCTAAGGACCGTCTCTTATATGCATCATCACGCCCGGATTTGCACGCGTAATACGACAGTCTGCTGTGAATAAATGCACCGCCGGTTTTCTCGGAGAATGCGGTGGTCTAAAACCAACTTGGGTCGAGGCAGCATGTATTCCATTTGCTGCACTACCATCGTCCCCACACGCTGTACAGCAAAGTTTAAAAATTTGGTTACCAGTCCCTAACTTAACCATGGGAACGCCTCCGATGTTCTTCATCGTTAACCGTGTGGTAATGGGCATGGATCATTACGTTAGAGTTGTTTTGTGGATTTAACCGTAAAACGTACTCACAAGCCGCTGAAGGGCCACCTTGAAACATTTTTCATGGTTATTCATCCGTTAAAGTCGGTAAGCGAATGGCTTAATAGCCATCAGATGATCACTTAGGGGTAACACTAAGTTGTTATTCACTAAGGATACAACAGACCACTTTATGCGGGCACCTATTGAAAGTAGCTGTAACCGGAAAATACGGTATTGAAACGGTCGCTTTGTATTTTTGCACCTGTGAGACTTCGTTTTCACGCTTAGAAATCTGCTCAAAATCGGCGAAATACGGTTACGTCGCCGCCATTTGAAATCGAAGTGCAATTAATCATCTATCTGAGAACCGTCAAACGCGGCTTATGGTAAAGTCCTTAGTCTTAAGGCAACCACAAACATCGCTATTTGGTGGCCCACATATTACAAGTTACTACCAACCAGCGATGCTGAGTGGCTATTAGACCTTCGTGTAACCTTCAGATAACTAGCTTTCATCGACTTCTTATGCTGCTAGGAGCCTTGCTATCGCATCAGTACCTGAGATTACAGTTCCTATTGTAATAGCTTCCCTAGAATATCACTTCTCGGAAGTTNCTGCCAGGTTGCCCAAGCTTAGACAGCAGCCGTCGAGATGCTGAAGTTGGGTTCGAACAACGGGTCTTCCGGTTCGGAATCTGATGCGTTATTGACAGCAATTTCAAGCCCGGGAAATATCCGTACTGAAGCATGAGGAGGCACCAGGGCCAAACGGTCTGCATCCAGCCGTTTCAAAACGCGGAGAAAACCTGGTGATTGACCTAACAAAGCTTACTGATGCGATGTGGAATAAATAGAAAATGCCTGCAGAATAAAGCATGTCGATAGTCATTCCTATGTTCAAAAGGGTTACGCGAACACTGTGTGAAAACCACCGTGGCATCAGTTTTGTAGCTGCGACATCGAAGGTACTCTCTGGTCTTATCCTTCGAAGGTTTACTGAACACAGGGAAAGGCGGATCCGTGAAGATCAAGCTGGATTTCACCGTGAAAGACCATATTTTCACCCTCCGACAGATTCTGGAACAGCAACACTGTTTCCAACGCCCAACAAAGGTTATCTTCCTGGACTTGAAAACTATCTTTGACCCAGTAGACTGTCAAGCATAAGTAAATTATTGACCCTCCTTAAGGCGCTGTACACCAGCTCGGAGGGCTCCCGGCTGAGTTCACCACATTAAGTGATGTCAAACAAGACTGTCTTATTTTCTCTTCAACTTTGCTGTTAATACGATCATTTGAGACTCACAATTAACCTCTGTATGTGGGGTCAAAATACTCCAGGGCGTTTGCGCAGAATGCACAGCCGTTCTTGGATCTGAGGCCACCGTAGTCCAAGCAATAGTGGAAAAAAACTTAAGCAATTCTGCCTCACGGTTTGGAATGCACTCCATACCTACAAAATGTAGAGAGCTGCTGCAAGCCAGTGTGGGCTCGAAACCCAATCTCCTGCTTGCAAGTGAGTCAACTGATGTAGTAGACAACTTCGTCCGCCTCGGCAGCTGTATAGTATATAAGGTCTCGCCAAGGATGAAATTTTCATCCGAATTGGGAAGCCCAGAGCAGACTTCTTGAACCCGCATCACCTCCGAAGCTGGCGTGACATCACCTCATCCGCCAAGGTTCGAGTTTGTAATGCCCTGGTGCGCTTCATACTACTAAACAGGTTAGAAACCTGGCCGCTGCACGCTGTGGACATCAAAAGACAATGTTTGGCAATGGATACCTTCGGACCATTGACCGAGTCTCGTAAGAACACCGGATTACTAATGCAGAAGTATGTCGAATGGCCTGCGGAAGAAATAAGTCGCCCAAGACAGATGAACCGATCACACGATAGGTTGCGGTGACTTAATCACGTGCTCCGTTTGCCAGTCGAAGGGTTTTTTTCATACAGCCGCGTAAAGCGTGGGGCGAGACATTAAAGGTCAAACAATCATTTGGCAGTGAATTATGGAAGCTATAACCAGCAAATTCAGTTGCGCCGGTTATTGCCACCGCTCTGGGTGTGGACCCAGAGACAAAACACATCAGGGGTTGGAGACATGGAAAAACATGGTGCAGTCGCGCCGTCAACGGCACTCATGCATCCAGGTTATTGTCTTAAACACATAGGTCCCTTCCAGATCTCCCCAGTTTGAAGTTCACTGACAAACCTGCAATGCACAGCTGCCTGCAGGATCTCCTCAAATCACCGATGAACGAAACTGCGGCGGGTAGAGCAACTGTACCACAAGTACGTATCCCTTGCAGTTAATGAGTATGATGACAATAATGATGATAGCTCAGTGTTGATTATCTAAGTTAACTGCCCCAGACGAAATATTTCCGCTCCTTCGTTGCAACCACCTGGTGGTTGCATGCATGGGTGACCAAGTAAACTTCCATCTCAGACAGGCCTTGGTTGACGAATTCGCCATTAACGTTGCTTAGGTCAGCTTGATGGACAAAGTTCTGTTCGTTACACTCAATTGTGTACCGTGATTGAAAGTAAGCTATCTGTAAGGCGGATTTCCATAAGGATCACGACTTACCGCTTCCAGTCAGTTGCTGCTACGGCCGAGAAGAATATCCCACGCGCGATTGGCCAAGAATTTCGGGACGCCCGCTGGTCCAGCATCAAGCCAAGATCGGATTGGTCGGAAGTCCTGACCCAAAGTTAATCATGACTCACTATTGGCCGAACGCCGGTTGACAATGCCGCATCCAGGCGTCAAAACTTCCAGAAAATTGTTGCCGCATACGCTATGTATATGATGCGCTGTACAATTGTTTCTGAATTTTGGGCGTTGATATACCTTTTGCAAATTTAGTGGCTGTTGTGACATGAACGCTAGTTTAGGAGCCTCAGGCCAAGAACTAAGCTGAAAAAGATGCCGTTTCTACACGATCGAAAATACTTTGCTAACTATTCTTCCCGAGACACCTTTCGCCAACCCATTTTCTAACGACAGCAAGCGGTAGTATTTAAGGGAGGAAATTCAGAAGTAGCTCGGAAACGGGCAGCACTGACTGGCATAAGGTTTTGTTGACACTTGGATAGGTCGTTCGACGGTACCAGACTTGAGGCAACTTATGCTAACTCTGGTGTCTTGTCGCTGATTCAGGCGCCTACAATGAACAACGTGGCCGAAATTTTCACGCTGGTCCTGCATTCTTTGGACCGAAGCTCTTCGTCCTTAAACCAACGAACCGCACGTTGTATTTTTTGTAAATGTTTGTGTAATGATTTTTCATCCCCCTCAGGGCTATCCCTTACCCGGAAGGGGGACATTGGATCAACCCGGTTACCGGTCGTCTAAGAACGGTCTTTTGTACGCATCATCGCGTCCGGATTTCCATGCGCAATGCGGCAGTTCGCTGTGAATAAATGCACCGCCGGGTTTCTCGGAGAATGCGGTGGTGTAAAACCAACGTGTGTTGAGTCAGCATGTATTCCATTTGTTGCACTGCCACCGTCTCCACAAGCTGTACAGCAAAGTGCAAAAATTTGGGTACCAGTCCCTAACTTAACCATGGGAACGCCTCCGACGTTCTTCATCGTTAACCAGTGCGGTAATGGACATGGATCATTACGTCAAAGTTGTTTTGTGGATTTTAACCGTAAAACGTATTCACCACCCGCTGAAGGGC